CCTACATAAGGATCGCTACCATGCTCCCTGACAGCAGACCTGTGCCTACATAGGGATCTCTACCATGCTCCCTGACAGCAGACTCGTGCCTACATAAGGATCACTACCATGCTCCCTGACAGCAGACTCGTGCCTACATAAGGATCACTACCATGCTCCCTGACAGCAGACCCGTGCCTATATAAGGATCACTACCATGCTCCCTGATAGCAGTTAAAAACTATTTGTCCAGTACAAGTATTATATGGTTTCATATCATAACCAGTTTAATGTATAGGGCTAAAAGCAGTGTGGGTTATTTGTGGTTTCATATATGTACATGATGGTGTATTATGCTCAGAAGGAAGTTAGAAAATTCACAAACAAGAATGTTTCCCACGAGAGCTGAAAACAACCAAATATCAAAATGTGTAAATTCTAAAACATTTTTATGTACAAAATTAGGTAAATGAAACTTTATCCAATAATTTCTGTTTCTGAAGTTGATTTTTTTTCTTTTAATTCAGTGGTAGATTTTTCCGAAAGGTCGGATGCACCCATCCATGTAAAATAGTTAATTATTTTATTTTCTGTACACTCACATTTGTATCTATAACACCCCACCCCTTATCTTTAAACTGTAACTGTTCAAGTAATGCATTGGGTAAAATGTTTCTAAGCATGATACTCTTTTAACTGACATGCAAATTCTTGTGTATTCAATTTTCTGAAATACTGCATATTCTGAACTTATATAAACATCCGTTGCATTGACGATAAATGTGGGATTATATTTTAAATTTCTGTTATTTATCTATATCTTTAGTTATACTAGTCTCTCAAACACTTCTGTTTTTTTTAACAGATATTTGATTTCCTACTGAAGTTACGCTGTAATGCTCTAGGCCAGGTAGGAATTTCTAACAGTGAAAACAAGATTTCCTACAGTCCGTACCTTCTTAGAAGCCACACGTGAGTGCATATACGGGTGGAAGGTCTTTACAAGCAGTCTTTGTGTATTCTTTATTTTTTGTTTGTGCTACTGATAGTTTTTTTCTTGTAATAAAAGAAACTCGGTTATAAATAGCGACCACGGTAAACATTATTAAATCATGTTTTCAACCATCAGTTCAGTGTTGAATTTCATTGTTATATGTTATTGGAATTATCTGAATTTATTGCTAAAAATCGTTTCAAAGCACCAGAAAGATTAAAAAAAAGATGCTATTGTTATTTATACTGGTGACAAATATTTAAAACATATAACCGATAAATTTAAATAAAGAAAAATTAATTGGTTGAACTCAAAACTTTTAATTGGAAGTTTTTAATATCTGTCTCGTCCGTTACTAGTTTTCAGTTCTCATCGTCACTGTACTTCATTAAAAAACTTTGTGATTGAATAGAGTAAATTTTAATTGAAAGTTGTTGTTTTTTATTTCTTTCTTGTCTGTTACTAGTTTTCAGTATTTATATTTCTTACAAAAAGAAATTACAAATGATTGAAGATAACAGTTTAATTTTTTTTGTCTCATCTCTTACTGAGTTTCTGTTCATCGGTAGACTTTATCAGCTTCAGTGGATAAATTCACGAACTTTGTTGTCCTCTACAGTGACTCCGGTACTGAGCATGGGAAATTAAGCCCCCCACCACCTGCTGCTCACCCCACTAGCATCATTTCGTATCTGTCGTTAGACCTTGCTTTGAAGAGTATTGTCACTTGTCTCAAACAGGTACCCGTTGTCCTTGTATTAATTCTAGTGTGGTTTGTAAATATTAAGTTTTAAAAAAGATGTTCTCATGATTTGCTTATAACTAATTTCATGTCAGTCTTTGGAACATTTAACCTAGAAGTAGCTCAGTTTAAATGTAGTATTTCAATTGTAGTAAACATGTAGTCATATATTACAAACTTGATTCTAGTTTGTGTAACGGATATCTGAAGTGTATTAAAAACCTTATACTTAAAACCTTGGTTTAGAAGTTCTATAGTTGTATATTTTGTGTAACGGATATCTGAAGTATATTAAAAACCTTGGTTTAGAAGGTCTATAGTTGTATATTTTGTGTAACGGATATCTGAAGTGCATTAAAAACCTTGTGTAACGGATATCTGAAGTGTATTAAAACCTTGGTTTAGAAGTTCTATAGTTGTATATTTTGTGTAACGGATATCTGAAGTGTATTAAAAACCTTGGTTTAGAAGGTCTATAGTTGTATATTTTGTGTAACAGATATCTGAAGTGTATTAAAAACCTTGGTTTAGAAGTTCTATAGTTGTATATTTTGTGTAACGGATATCTGAAATATATTAAAAACCTTGGTTTAGAAGTTCTATAGTTGTGTATTTTGTGTAACGGATATCTGAAGTATAATAAAAACCTTGGTTTAGAAGGTCTATAGTTGTATATTTTGTGTAACGGATATCTGAAGTATATTAAAAACCTTGGTTTAGAAGTTCTATAGTTGTATATTTTGTGTAACAGATATCTGAAGTATATTAAAAACCTTGGTTTAGAAGGTCAATTGAGATTATTTTTTGCTTCGACTATAGGAAACTGACTGGGGTGTTTTAAAGTTAGTACTACAGCAACTACCACAATTTCTCCAAAACAAAGCTGTCGTTCTCTGTGGAAAAGGAAGTATCAGGTCTCTGTGCTTGAGTCTGTGTATCATGGTAATTATTTCCTCTTCTGTTATAGTATTTAATGTAGCGTGTGGCTGACGTTTATACACTTGTACGAGTCTTTACTTTTGTTTCTTTATAGCAGCTCTTTATTTGATTTCAACCTGTGTATTTTGAAGGCCACTCAAAAATAAATGAATACAAAGGTACTTATAACAAACATGAGCAGTGGTGGGTCTCCTTTTAAAATCTTGAAATCTGAATAGAAATAAATATATTGTTGTCACTTTAGGTTTCATAAAATTATTAGACTTAGGAATATTTGACCTTTTTTTTTTTCCTCTTTTTTTGGATGTATTCTAATATCTGGTTTCACCTACTTGATTGGACACTTTTGTGTTCAATTATTTAAAAAAGATTGTGTGTGTTGTGATGTGTTATGCAGTGATAAAAGTATTTCTGTGTCTACGCATATAGATGGAGCGTTATGATGTGTTTGTCTTTGTTTTCAGCTTTCTTTAATTATGATATTTCTCTGAGTTATTCAGTTTGATCATTGTGTTTCTGAATACTTGAATGTAATCTTGGTGTTTCTGAGTTATTGAGTTCTTTTTCTATCTTGGTGTTTCTGAATACTTGACTGAGTTATTTGAGTGTGATCTTGGTATTTCCAAGTTTTTACGAGACTCGAAAAAGCACCCACGTGTATGTTCTCCTGAATCATGTCCTTCTGTCTGGTGCTAGCGGTACAATTTTATTCAAAATATCAACGTAATGTTTTCTCGTTTGAATCTGCAAGACGTAGTTCTAATTTTCTCTAACAAATTCTGAAAAGAAAAAAGATGGCATTGTTTATCTCCTGTGGGTTTATTAAACTATTTACTGGACCAATAATAAAGTGTTATTTCAAACAAACTATTTACTGGACGTATGTTTGAAATAACACTTTATTAAACTATTTACTGGACCAGTGTTTGAAATAACACTTTATTAAACTATTTACTGGACCAGTGTTTGAAATAACACTTTATTAAACTATTTACTGGACCAGTGTTTGAAATAACACTTTATTAAACTATTTACTGGACCAGTGTTTGAAATAACACTTCATTAAACTATTTACTGGACCAGTGTTTGAAATAACACTTTATTAAACCATTTACTGGACCAGTGTTTGAAATAACACTTTATTAAACTATTTACTGGATTCCATTTAGACTATCTAGAGGTTACTGATGAGAGAGGGTATATCAGAATTCTTTGCATGATAAAACTCTTGGCCCATTCCAGGATAGCTGATAAAGGATGATGTTCCCAAAGTACGTGGGGTTTTTGTTGCAAAAACGTGAAGCTATAGATCCCAAACTGTTCTAAGAAGTAAAGTCTTGTCTCTTCTTCCTGTCCATCTGTACTTGTCAACTATTAATTTTAATTTTCTCGTTTTAAAGGTTAGCGACAGGAACTCGGGTCTACCCGAGAAACTCAGGAACGCTCCTCTTCAGTTCATTCGTTCAGACTTCCATGCATTTATCTTTCCAGTTCTTGCATCACTGGCTGCCTACCATGGTGAGCTCGACCAACATGCACAGGTAAGTAATAATAGAAAGATAACTGGTTCGGTATTGAAAACAAGGCTAACCTAAATAATTATGTTCTGTGATTGAATGTGTATGTATTGATGTCTTTCTGTTCACTTGACAAAGGAGAAGGATGGGGAATAATTCCAAGTTTTATTATTGTCTCACTAATACGTTTTGTAAAAATGTTCTTTGAAAAACACAACAACTATTTCATTATAAACATCAGATACCGTACATGGAAAGATACATGTATGTGTGTGTTTTTTAACACTATCAAGGTGTTTTGAGATCCAGTTTACTTAGTCTGTTTGACTCTTTTGTTTCTTAGAATTAACGATGGATTCTGTACGACACTATCAGATTTTCCAAGACCATTTCTGTACCAAATTACTGTGGGTACTTGAGTATGTTGGATCCCTAATAACATACGAGTCACACAAATGTGGACATCAATTAATCCCATTAATTATTGCTGGGATTTACTGTGGATTTTACAGTAGAAAATGGGGGATTTCACAAACTCAATTTCTTACATTGAATGTTGGAATAGTCAAAAGTATAAAATTACCCAAAATAATGTACTATATATGTATACCCCACTCGTAACGAATGGTTAGTACAAAAGTTGGCTAAAATAAGATAATTCTGGTTTTGGTTGCTTTTATAAATATAAGTAACATAATCCAGATTTTTCAGATGTGTTTCTTGGATGAGCAAATTACAGATAACCATTGTCAATGGTATACTTTATGTACAGCTACATTGTCAATGGTATACTTTATGTATGACTACATTGTCAATGGTATACTTTATGTACAGGTACATTGTCAGTAGTATACTTTATGTATGACTACATTGTCAGTGGTATACTTTATGTATGACCTATGAAAAAGTTTTTTAGAAAGTATATAATTTTTATCATTTTTATTGATAAAACATTGTTCTTATAAGAATTCAAAAGAAGTAACCATCCATGTGGATGTCTGTTTTAACAGTAAAGAAGTAACCACCTGTGTGGATGTCTGTTTTAACAGTAAAGAAGTAACCAACCGTGTGGATGTCTGTTTTAACAGTAAAGAAGTAACCACCCGTGTGGATGTCTGTTTTAACATAAAGAAGTAACCACCCGTGTGGATGTCTGTTTTAACAGTAAAGAAGTAACCACCTGTGTGGATGTCTGTTTTAACAGTAAAGAAGTAACCAACCGTGTGGATGTCAAGCTTTAAAGTATTATGTAATTGATACATATTGGTGTTTTACCGATTTAAAAGTTGATAAAAGGCAGCTTTGAAAATTTTGACATTTGTACTTAGTTTCCCGTACTCAAGGATCCACTTGAAAAGTTGTGAAAAATGTTATCAGTCACGAAATCTAATTTCGTTTTAAATTATTTATTTTTCTGTATTGATAAAAATGTAGGTTTCTCTTTAAATAGTTTTCTTATTATATAATTTAAATAGTTTTATTATTATATAATTTATGAAGAACTGTGTGTGTTAAAAAACTGTTTCACAGACAATTCTGTACAACGGTGTATATAAACACTAGTGTTTCACAGACAATTCTGTACAATGGTGTATATAAACACTAGTGTTTCACAGACAATTCTGTAAAACTGTATATAAACACTAGTGTTTCACAGACAATTCTGTACAATGGTGTATATAAACACTAGTGTTTCACAGACAATTCTGTACAACAGTGTGTATAAACACTAGTGTTTCACAGACAATTCTGTACAACAGTGTGTATAAACACTAGTGTTTCACAGACAGTTCTGTACAATAGTGTCTAAAAATCACCAATGTTTCACAGACAATTCTGTACAATAGTGTCTAAAAATCACCAATGTTTCACAGACAATTCTGTACAATGGTGTATATAAACACTAGTGTTTCACAGACAATTCTGTACAACAGTGTGTAAAAAGCACCAGTATTACGCAGGTAATTCTGTACAACAGTGTTTTTTTTGTTTTAATCGAAGTATATACACTGATTTTTCTCCCCTTCTAGAGGATGTTGATCAACTGTCTAGAGTTTGGTCTGGTATCCAAGTGTGCTCGAATGTGCATTGTGGCTCTCACACTCTGTACTCTCGAGATGAGAGATGTAATGTACAAGTTACTTCCCAATATCACCATTAGTTTATCGAAGATTTCAGCTAATGTGAGAATAGCAGTACCGATATTGGAGTTTCTGTCCTGTGAGTGTTGGTTTCTCAATCAAAATTCACAATAATATAATAAAAAAAGAAATTTTTCGTATTTTATTTAACGTTTTCAGGTTGTATCTGTAACTTGTTCAGTTAACTTTTTAAGATATTGAAGTTTTTACCAAAATATATTCAAAAGAAACATTTAAGTTGCACCAGTGTGGTTTATAATTTTAAGAATTGGAGTTTTTTTCTTGGTTTGTTCCTCTGATTTCTCTTTATTTCTAACCTTATATTCATTGCCAAGTTCTTGTATAAGTATTCTTTTTTTTTTTCTCCACGATTATCTCCTCCAGTATCTATTTAATCCTAAGGCCTGGCATAGCCTGGTAGTTAGGGCATTCAACTCGCAATCTAAGGGTCACGAGGTCGATTTTTCGTCACCGAATATGGTTGCCGACTCGGCCAACCATCTGATTGTAAAATTTCTGGGCTTATAAAAAAATTAGCTGACCCCAAACTAGTTGGGATTAAGATCATAACAACAACAAAAAAAATCACTGATTTCTAAACAATGTATCTGTTAATTAATAAATGAAGTGCAGGATTTCTTATTTCCTGTATTTTATTGTTCTATATTTTCCTGTATTTTATTGTTATTGTTTAACGTTGCAGTGCCGAGGTTCAAGTGTCTGGTTTTGGCCCTTTTCTTGGCCTGAAGCACCACATATTTCCAACATTTCTGTTTAAAAATTTGACCCTAATATTGGGTTTTAACATTGTTCTGGTGTTTTTTTTTGTTTTGTTTTTAGCATTTTTCTGGTCAATTTTTTATTCTTGTTATTTCTCTCCAATGATTTTTCTTGTACTTCGTACTGCTTAAGGAAATGACCTCTTACTTCATGTAGTTCTACGTTTGTTTATCTAAATTCTGCAATATCAGTGTTGGTTACTAGAATTAAGATATAGGGATATCCGACAGAATAACGTAGTAAAAATTACAAAGTTATCAATCAGTTCATTATTGAAAAAAAATTGAATTACGTTTGTTCTATTTTTCACATTCAAGGACCCATCACAGTAAAAGTAAAAATCAACCTCTTACCTTATTGATTGCTTAAACTTTTTAGAGTCATTGTTACAAATATCTATGTTGAATAACAGTGAATTATTTGTTGAAAATATTTTCAGTTAAACCTTAAAAATAATATTAACTGTGCATTCTGAGATATATTTTGTGTGTTTGTATTTAGGTTTGATTAGACTCCCCAGTCTCTATGTGAGTTTTGTGGAGGACCAGTACATTCTGATATATTGTTTTGTGTGTATTTAGGTTTGATTAGACTCCCCAGTCTCTATGTGAGTTTTGTGGAGGACCAGTACATTCTGATATATTGTTTTGTGTGTTTAGGTTTGATTAGACTCCCCAGTCTCTACGTGAGTTTTGTGGAGGACCAGTACATTCTGATATATTGTTTTGTGTGTTTAGGTTTGATTAGACTCCC